AAAAAAAAAAAAAAAAATTCTCTGCTTCCCAGATGATTATTCCTGAAAATCAAGCATCAGGTTGATGAAGGTCACTGGTTGTCACACATGTCACAAAGACAGCATGTCCTAGGGACCACATTCTATTTATCTTTGAGGCTTGATGTGCCTTCTCCCTTTTCTGCCTATTAACTAGTCCAGCCATCCGTGCAACTTTTTAATAACTGTGATCATTTACGGAATTGTTAATACCCATAATTATAGAATGAACAGATAAACGCAAGAAAGGAAAGATATGCTACTGTACAAGAGAAAGGTTTTCAGAAGCAGTTTAACTTTTAATTCTCAAAAACAAAACAAAACAAAAAACCACACACACACATTTGTAGGACTCCTCAAGAATCTTGAAAATTTTGGTGCCTAAAGGTAGGTTTAGCAAGATAACCCTATGATCTACATGAATAAACGGAGGGCCAGTTCAGAAAAATGGTAAGTTCAGAATAATCGTTCTTAAAGTCTGAGTCTGAGACCAGCAGCAGCAACAGCATCCTGGTAGAAAAGCAAATTTTCAGAACCCACTCCAGAAATACTGAGTCAGAAATTCTGGTCGTGGGGCACAGCAATCTGTGTTTTCTAAACGAGCCCTGCAAGTGATCTTGATGTACACTCATGACTGAGAACCATGAGACTAGACCATGAGACCAGTGGGCTTCCTGCCTATGATTCTGAGTCTGACTGTACCATTAACAGATAGATAGCATCCAGACTTCACTCTAACCTTAGACATTAGGACAGAGCTCTAACCTCTACACTGATCATCCATGAATTTCTCTAAGTCACTTGAACCACCATTTTTGACCTGGTAAGTCACATAAACTCATTTTCACCTGCCTAAGGCAGCATTCTCATTTTCTTTCAAAACTACCTATTTTGCAGTGCAAAAGCAGCCTCAGGTATATTATTCTGCAAGTAAGTGACCAAGTCTATCTTTGCCTTTATACTGATCTTAATTCTGTATATATTTGATATCTTTTCTTGTTCTCCTTTGGCTTTCCAAACCAGATTAGCAGTCTGTCCACATTATCCTCATATAGAAATCTGAAGCTGGAGAACATAAAATAAAATTGCTAGAAGAAACGTGAGGTATTTGTTTCTGGGAACAGATATACTGAAGGACATGCAGAATGACCCCATCCTTGGAAGAATGATTAAAGCAACTGTAGGGCTGCCAGATTTAGCAAATACAAATGTAGGGCACCGAGTTAAATTTGAATTTCAGATAAACAACAAATTATTACAGGGGTCACACTTATACCAGAAAGTTATTCACTGTTTATCTGAAATGAAAATTTAACTAGGTATCCTGTATTTTCTCTGGCAACTCTAGAACTGGGAAAACTAAACTTTAAGAGGGTTCTGAGGAGACAGCTCACCTCAAAATCTTAAAAGACTGTTATGAGAAAAATGGGCCAATACCAATATAGACCCAGAGAACAGAATCCATGGGTAGAAATTCCAGGAAAAGGATATTTGGCGCCATAGAAGAAAGAAATTTATAAAAAAAATTTGAGTCATCCCAAGAGTCGTCTCGATAATCTCATGAGCAAGGACTTATCTCTAGACAGTCAAGCAGAGATGTGCTGAGGAAGCTTGAAGTCAGTAGGGTTGGTTGAATGGTTAGACTAAAAGATGTATAAGGCCTTTCTGACCCAAAGGCCAATGAAAGTCTAGACTGCTTTAGTTGCCATTTTGTAGAATCTTTCTGCCCCACAAAACGTGCAAAGTATTCTGAGTCTATATGGATAAACTCTAGCTCTATACATCGGTGAACTAAACATGGCAGAAAAGAACCACATTTCATCAATGAAGGAAAAAAAAAGGTCGAATCTAACTTGTGTTGATCCTACTGGTAGGGTTCTAACCAAACACATTTGTGTGCGCTATTACAGATGTGCCTGAAAGAACTATCAAGATTACAGAGGGATTTGTCCCAAAGCATTTCAATGATGGAAAAACTTTTAATTGCTTTCAAATGTAAAACAGATAAACAAGGAAGCTTACTCTTTGTCCTGCTGTCCATTTCTGGTTTTGATGATTCTTGAGTTGCTGCTGTTGGAGGTAACTTCTTCCCAATAGTCTGGAGGAAAAAAAAAAAGTTGATTTTACTTATCAAGAGGATTCTCTCCATTAAGCCATGTAATCAAAGCAAGATCATAAAGATTAAATGCTCATAACTGGTTCTAAAACCCAGCCACTTGAGTTTTTTTCACTACTTTGTGTATTGGCTGACAGTCTTTAATAGGTCTGAACTTCAGTGACAAAGAAGATGGAAAATTTAGGTAAAAACAGCTTTATCCGTGTTACCACTCATTGACTTTCATTCCCTTTCTTCCTTAATGTTCTTATTAAAAGGTTCACTATTTTTAGCTAAGAAAATAGACAGACTTCCCTCATTTTATAAGAATCTGTCTAACTTAAGCAGGCACAGTGCCTGGTCCACAGGAGGGGCTCAGAAGTAGCTACAGAGTGGAAGGATGGTTATAAGAGGGAAGGACTAAAAGACAAGAGGAAGGAATGAAAGGATGGAGGGCCAGAAAGATGGATAGATAGATGGGCAGGTGCAAGGACAGGCAGAAGTCAGGATATCCAGGACACCTGTGCCTTACTGAGCCATCGTCTAGCCATCTAAGATTCAGCCCAACTCAGAGCTTATAAGTAACATGGTCTCTTGGCCAGGTCCATTTACGCTAATGGAGAAAACAAACAGGGGTAGCAATTCCCTTTCCACCAATCTTTTCACCCTCTGTGGCTTTGGAAAAGTCCAACTCCTCAGACCGTAGGCTTCCCTTTACTGGTTAAAAAAGAGAAAGAGAAAGAGTTTGAGTTTGAGTTTGAGTTGATTTTCTTTCCTTCATTTAAAGCTAATGCTATCATCATCCACCAGCCACTCCTCGGAAGGAAGGTTGGGCAATCCTACTTCCGTAGTGATACTGCCT